ACTGACTATTTAGATCTAGCTATTATAGGTATACTCTCTCAAAAAAGCTCAGAGAACGAATAATAGTACCCGGTCTCATTCTATTCCAAAGCTTTTTAAGGAGTCAAAAGCTACTATAAAGTTTATAATAAGGAACTTTTTATTATTATCTAAGGATTTCGGGAATAGCAAATAGAACTAATTAGCTTACTTAATTTTCTAATTATTACTAACTATAAAGCTCTCAAGTATTTTGGTACTAAGAGGCTCTTAAATAAATAATAAATCCGATAAATAGATTTCCTATTATAATTCTATTACTAGATTATCTATTAGCCGGGTAAAAATAATACTATTACTAATATCTTATCCCGAAAAAATAAGCTTATATTAATTTAGAAATAAACTAAAGAAGCCAAAAAAACTAGATAAGTTATTTTATTAGACCTAATTCTTACTTTTACTAAGATAATAGATATAGCTTATATTCCTATTAAAATAGAAGAAATAAATAAGCTATTTATTATAATTAAAGTTCTATAAGCTAATTAGATAAACCCAGTCCTAGAAAACAAATATAGGAAAGCCCGGAAAAATACGGAACTATAGGAAATATTAAATAGTTATATATTTTATAATAAAAGACTTATTATACTAGATAGATATAATAATCTATAAATTAGACTCCTATAACAAATCTATAATATAATAACTATTATATATCCCGGTTAAAATAAAACAAAAATCTTAGTTCGGAAACTTTACTAATAGCCTACTTTTTCTATAGATATTAACTACTTTATAGTAAACTATTACAAATATTAAAGATCTTATAAGCTAAGAAATAAAATACCAGGCCTATTATATCTATTACTAGTTTCCCTAAGAATATAGAATAATTTATTTATAGACTTCTATATTTCTGGTTCTATAAGTAAAGAATATAATAATATATTTATTATAATTAATTAATTATCTAAATAATATATAAGCCTATTAATAACCAAGAATACTATAGCTAGGACTATTACTGGCCTATTCTATTACTATATCTAGTAATTCCGAGGATTTTTCCTTATTATTATAAATAACCGAAAACCCTAATTTATTTCAGATTTTATAAATAAACTATTAAGATTAACTAGAATTAAGCTAAAGCTCTCGATTATAGAATATATCTAAACTAATAAATAAATAGAAATCATTAACTAGATTATTAATACCTGACTTTGTTTTTTTATTAATTACTTTTAGAATAATTAGGCAAATTTACTTCTGGTATTTAATATTATAGATACCGCTTGCTTATATAAATTAACCGGCTTATTTCCCTTAATAATTAATTATAGATATAAACCCAGGCTAAACTTTAACTAAATATTACTAATAATAGAATTTAAAATATTAAGAAAGAAACTTAATTAGAAGAAAATATAATAGTAGGCTAAGAGAATTAATACTATTATTAATTATACCCGAGAATATATAGTAGTAGTTTAGGAATATTAAGCCAAATAAGCTAATAAGAAATAGTAAGGACCGGATTTTAGTCTAGAAAATATAATCTATATAATTAAAAAAATATAGAAAACAGACTATTTATCTAATAAATTAGACTATTTCCTTATTAGACTATTTAAAATTAATAAAATAATTAATTATTTATATTAATTAGATCTTTTCCTATTATATAGGATTTGGCTAATTTTTTATATAAATAGACTTTATAAAAATCCTACTAATCTATTATCCGGCTAGACTAATAAAGAGCCTAGTTTTACTAAACTTAATAGTAAACTTAAATAGGAAGTTAAAAAGATTCTCTCTTCTAAAATACTTTATAATAAGCTTTATTATAAGATTAGATAAAAGAAATAAGATATAAATAATAAATAGTACCTTATATTAAACTTTAAGAATTTAGTACTTAAACTATATAAATTTTACGAATAGAACCCTAGTAAAATAGGACCTCCTATTTAGTTAAATAAATAGATTTAGTATACTAAAAATTTTTTTTTAATAAAGATTACCCAGATAATAATAAACCTTAATAATAAGGCTTCTATAACTAGAAAAAAAGAAAAAAAATCTAGATATTTCCCGGGTTTTATCTAAACCCTAATATATTTCTTTTATTTTATTATATTAATATCTATTTTTTTTTATAGAAATCTGGGCAAAATATCTTTCTTTATTATACTAGATTATACTTTACTATCTAGGTAAATTATAAAAAAAAAGTGAATTCTTAAAGCTAAATTAAAAATAAATACTTACCTATATTAGTTCGAAATATTATTAAAAATTAAGAGAAACCTTTCTAATTACTTTAATCTTTATAACCTCAACTATTTATATTACTACTACTGCCTTAATAGAACTATTAATAAAGATAAAATAAATAAGAAATCCCGGTAATATATTATCTATAGCCGGACTAAATAAAGCTACTTACTAGATTCTAGATAACTTAAGTAGTAGTAGCAGTATCTCAAGTTTAGTAGCTATTACTATTATTAATATAACTACTAGCTAAACTATTTTTATAGACGAAAATAGCAATTTCCTTATCTAAGAATAAATTAATATATAGAATATAGCTCATATTACTCTTGAGAATATACCTGAAATTATTATAGAGAATATCTTAGTAAAATATTCTAAGAATAATAAAATAAAGGTTTTAGTTATTAGTAATAATAAGTCTAATAGTTAAATAGGCGGAATAGATAGTACTAATAAGGGCTATCTAATTAACTTTATAGAGCCAAATACTAAGAAGGCAAAAAAGAGTAAGGCTAGCTTATCTAAAAAATATAAGGTATTAGATAATAATAAGAATTCTAATAATAAAAAGACTAAGGACGGAAAAACTTCTAGTAATAAAGAAGATTCTAACTATAATAAAGGTAGCTAAACTAGTATTAAGATACTTATTATAACTAGAAGATATATAGTACTAAGTAGTAGTTATTATATAAAGTACTAGTCTGAAACTAAAAGCTAGTAAATAATTCTAAAGGCCGAATTAAAGAAGTAATATCCTATAGATATTAATAAATTAGTAAATAATACTATTTAGGAAGTCGGAAAATCTTTTAGAAGTTTCTATAAAACCAAAATTATATAGCTTAAGGCCCGGGAATTTGATAATAAAGTAGCTCAAGTAATTGCTCTTAATATATAAGTTTCTACTATAGAGAGATAACTTGAGAATATATATATTAAGCTCGAAAAGGCCCAGAAGTTAATTAAGTAGCTCAGAAACGGTATAATTAAGCCAAATGCCGCTATCCTAATTAAGAAGAAAGGCAAGTAAGCTATTATATTAAAGCTTGTATTAACGGATGAACTTGATCTGCTATCCCTATTTAAAGACCGCCCGATAATAATAGTCCTAATATTGGCTATGGCCTATATGGTACTTCCAGACTATATTATTAATATGAGTATAGGTATAATACGAGTAATAGATACTAAGAACTAGCCGGAATATACTAGGAACTGGGTTATTCTAGTAGAGTCAAGACTATACTTTGATTATAAGTAAGCTATAGGAATTAGACAGAATAGGATTAATGGCCGTTATTTCCTCTTTTTTCTTTTCTATACTGCGGCTGAATAATTCCCTAAATAAGGGTATTTAGACTTCTCTTTGGGAGGGGGGTAATATAATGGCTGGTATAAGGGTATGATCTATTAAGAATAGGATATCGGAAACAGGTATAAAACGAAGCTAAGCCAGAATTACTTAAACGGAATAATACTAAAGGTCGAGGCATTCTCTCTATTTTGTTCTATAGCTTAGTATTTTCTAATATATGAGATTCTTTGAACTTTGAGCCTTTAACTATTATATTAATCCCGCCATTATACTAACTATGTTTTATATACTTAAATATAGTATTAAAAGCTATTATATAGGTTATTAGTATAAAAATTAGTAAATTCAAGAGATATTTATTTATATATATTAATTTCTTATAAATAGTAATTAAAACCTTAAAAGTATTATTATAATAAAAGATATACCGGACTAAAATAATCTTATTATAGCAGGTATTATAGTATTTTTTTATAATATATCTAATTATTTTAAAGCTTATATAATTGGGATTTATATTTAATATTAGCCTAATAGCGCTTTTCTGTTTTTGTTTTACTAGGAAATAAAGTATTAGAATTTTATAACTACTATCTAATATCTATATATTTCCTAATAGTAAGAATTTTCCTATTATTGCCTTTAATAAACCTTTAATTCTATATAGCTTCGTTTTTAGTAAACTAATTATTAGTAGGCTTTTTAGTAATAAGGGAGGATAAAAACTGAGTACTAGAGAAATATATTCCTGATATAGTAATATTAAAATATTACTTTGCTTGGTTATAGATATATTAATGAGGTATATATAGGACTGGAAATAAACGAAGGGTTAAAAGAGATATATTAAAAGTAAGGTAATTAATTGAGAGATATATAGAATTAGTAATTATACTTGGAAAGTAGGTACTTATACTGTGAACTATATACTATAAACTGTGTCTAGGTAGTAAAAAGGGAGCAGAGGCCCTATACATATCTAGAAGCTCTGGAGAAGTGTCTTTACCCCTATTATATACTGAGAACTAAAGGGTTTCAGCCTCCTCAGCCCCGAAACCCCAATATCATGCGATTAATTAATCAGCCATTCGATTAATCAATCGGCCCCCTTATTAATTAATCAGGACCCACTGTGGCTTGCGAATCGTATTCCATTTCCTATTGATTAATCGTAGCGCCCCATTGGTAAACCGCTCGTGTTGACGAACGGGCGTGAACAAAGCGACTTCGCGATTCATCCACATCCATACCGCACCTATGCCACAACAGGTCTAAACGTTGAAGTCAGAATTGCGTGTTGGCAGTCAAATAATTTCGCAAATAAGAGAATCTCAAACACGAAACAATGCTAAACAGCTGGTTTTGACTTTTGTGGTAGTGTAGTGAAGATCATATTCGCAGGCAAGACAGCCGCTCACTCGAGGAGCTCGAAAGCTCGTACCAGGTATCCTCTCCCAAGAACAATCACCGTATCCCCCATATTCCAATCTGCCTCGCCCTCGAAACCTTCAGCCCCGAGATCAGCAACAGAAGGAACATCTTCCACATCACCAATCTTGTATTTCAACTCCCAGCTCTTCCTCACCTTATCCCACTCTTCCCTCCTCGCGCCAAAAGTTTCTCCCTTCTTGTCACCCATGGCAATATATCCTCCCCCAATCCTCCCCAAGAAAACCTTCCTCCCCTCACCAGCACTCTCAAGTATCCATGCCCTCCTCGGTCCAGGCACAGGCAGTATCTGTCTCCACACCTCCTCATATTCCGTGACTTGCATCCCTCGCTCAGGACACGGCATCTTGCCTGTCTCGAAATCATCGCCGTTTGGGAGTTTTGTGAAGTCGCCTTCGTCTGGTTCAGTCATGTTTAGGGAGTCGAGGGTTTTGTTGAAGCGGACTTTCACTACAATGCTTACCATCTGATTAGCATTGAACTTTGGCCATGTGGGGAGGGAGAGGTATGAGAGCTTACTGGGATCTGTGGATATCACTTGTCGTTCGCCTGCCAGTGCCCAGTCTATAGAGTTGTTGGATTTGAGGACTCGCAAGTCGAGGTAGTAGGCGCCGACGCCGAAGACGAGGGTATCTGTGGGTTCGGAGGCGGTATCGGGTAGCCAGCGGAGGCTGATGCGGATTGATACTCGCGGTGCCATTGTTGGATGCTGGAGTGGGGAGAGTGAAGGAGGAGAGAAGGAGAGATGGAAGAAATGGCGAAAGCCGAAGCCAGAAGGACAAGCTTCCCTGGGAGGTTTGCTAAGCAACTTGATCGAAATACCTACCGAACTTACCAGCTATCTATATAAAGAGCTGTGACATCGATTCGTGGCAGGTGAGTACTGTTTTGTCAACATTCGATGAAGTCTGTGGGCGTTAAGGTTCAGATGTTTGGTGTCTCTTGGACTTTCCCGATTGGGGCAAGCTTGCAATTTGGCCCCCACTTCATATCAAAGTGTCCCCTTTTCAGAAGCTCACCCCCTGGTCTAAGTATCCTCGGACCTCGAATTATAGTAATTGTTTCTCTCCTACTTCCACTTAATCATTATGAGCCTCTTTCTCTGTCGTCAAATTCTTCATTCTGCTTTTCATTGACTTCCAAGTTGGCCCTTTTGCCTCCATCAACCCACTCGCGTGAGGGGCCCTCATTCCCTTCTTTCTCATGGAATCTGCTTCCTTAAAGGGTTGCTTTGCTTGCCCTACTTCTGTTAGCAAGACGGTAAGATTTGACGATCCGTATATAGTTAGCTCACCTAGTCCGAACGGTACGAAGTTGTGGTAAATAGTCTCCCAGTTCCCGGCCGGCACGACATATGTTTCGTGCATAATCCCAACAGACGGGTGCTTTCCTTTCATGTACCAATTGAGCCCCTTCTGGTGGGCTTCCGCTTGGGCAAAAGCTTGAAGGTGCTCTAGACTTCTCCAGTAGGAGATCCACGCCGCACTGTTGGTATTCTCCACATCTGTGGAGAGCAGGGTACCAGTTTTGCCAATGACTTTGATGGCTAATCAGTATTTCGTGACCGAGAGCAGACGGAAATAAATTAGAACTTACAACCCCATTTCTCTCGGTTATCAGACAGCTCTTTCCACATGTCTCCGAACATGTCACGAACTTCCAGGGTATCGGAATCAAAACGGCCATCGATTGCGCTGCAATGAGGAGTAAGCAAGGCACAACTCAATGAAAAATAGGATAGAACTCACTTGTTTGTACAAGAGCCTAACAGAAAGACGACGATCTCCTTATCGCATCCATTTTCAGGGACCGATCCGTCATCGTTGACGATTTGTGCTGTGGTTCTCCCCACATATACTCTGTCAAAACTTGGGTCACGCATGAAGCCAAATCGGATCAACATGTTCTTCGTGACAATACCAGCTAGCGTCAGAACTACGGGCATAGCAACAATGCGGTGAGGAGCGATGAGGAAAAGGACAGCTTGAATGAAGGCGCCCATGTAGAGCAATGTCGACAATTTGAAGTCATCCCGGAGGATTTGATGGGGCATTGGAGCCATAGTAGGCTTGAGAGCTAAGAGAGAAACCTCAAGTGATGGGAGAAAATGTGCATAAAATTTATTGAGGTCTGCAGTCGCGATTTTATCGTGAGGCTGAGGGAAGTTGTGATCTAGCCCTGCTGCGCCACACCAGGGCGTGGCGGGGCTGAAGCCGGCTCACGTCAGGCGACATCTCAAAATATCTTCTGAGTTCAGGCACTTTGAAATTGAGAATGATTCCCTCCATATATGAAGAGGAAGTTCACAAGGTGCGCATAGAACCTCTGGATGACTGTTCTGAAAGCTCTTTCCAACTTGTGAAACATGTTTTGGGCACGGGGGCTAGGTCGTCCGTTCTCTGTTCCGTCCACAATGATTCAGTGAATCACAATTGGAATTCCATTGCGATTGAAGAAGAGAAACCAGCCCTAATTGGAATTTCTTTTGCCGTGCAAAGTTCGGGATATCTCAAGAAGAGCAAAATATATCCACGGGCCACTCAACACTTCAGCGTCCTTGCTGACTTTTCGGATCATGAGACGAGAAATATCGGAACAGTGACACCCCGCACTTTTGTCCTTCCCGGAGGAGTGTCTTCGCCTTCGTATTTGGTTTGAGTTTCGCGTCAACTGTTGCAGTCACTGGACCTGGGCTTGATCAGAAGGTCATAATGCGGAAGCAATAGAGCAGCTCGGTGCAGTGTGTCTAACTCGAGTTGTCACCTTCGACAGAAGAATCAGATCTAGAGAGGTCCTATTTGCAACACGTGTTGCGCGGGAAAGAAGTTCTGCAGACTTTAAAGGCTTGCAGGTACGAAATTTACTTCCAAGGAGTCTGACATCAGACTTCACCTGGATCGCCTCCGGATTTTGGGTCCATTGATTGTTACCCACTCTCCCGGATGAGATCTGATGCGGGCTGAGGTGGTCGAGGCTGCGCCTACCATGAGTCGCAGAGCAGTCGCTAGTTGGTTAGTTGGTTCCGAGCGTGTTTCCCGTCGTTTCACTATTATCATCCCAACTCTTTACCCAATCACAAATGTTTCCAACACGAAAACGATGGCCACCCTCATGAAAGATGTCAAACCTTAGGTGGTGGACCCAGTGAAGTCGTCAGCTTATACTTGTCTGAACATTGGATGTGATGCGAGGGCCCACTAAGACCCTCACGATGACCCTCAGCCTCATTCAGTACAGAGAGAACCTTCGCGCGGCCTGGTTCTTTTCTTTTCGGATACCAAAGTTGGCGTTGGCTTATCTCCTGTCAGCGTGCACCAATACTGGCCCCTCACTGCCTCCAGCACCGTCGAGGTTTTGCTTGCGCCACATCAGAGCGCGAATCTCTGGACTGATTACTTTGAAGGATCCTCAGATAGCCATATAATGTCTATTTTTACGGATCTCAGGTTTTCATTCAAGACGTGGACTTATAAAGCGCACGATCCCGCTGTACTTGGAAATATCCCGGCACCGCCGTTGTTCGGTTGCCCCTTCACATCCTGATCATGTTTATTACCCAAACTAAACTATCCCCGGTTCTCTACTTGATATGTAGCTTCTGTCTGTTGGGTTGTAAGTTCAAGATCCAGAGCGACCGAGAATTCAAACTCAAATTTCAGATTCAGCTGCAGCACCACCCACTAGAGCAGACAGGACACTCGTCGGCCAGCCAATCGGAAATGGGAACCCAATCCCCTTGCGAATTCTCCCGCTCGGCGACTCAATCACATGGGGAACCCTAAGCACTGATGGCAACGGATACCGCCAGGATCTCCTAGACTTGCTTTCCGGAACTCCAGTTCAATACATCGGCTCCCAGCGCTCCGGAAACATGACAAATAACTTCAACGAAGGCCATCCAGGAGCGACCATCAGCCAAATCACTGGCTTTGCAAACCAAAGTCTACCACAAAGACCGAATCTCATCTTGCTGATGGCGGGTACCAACGATATGATCAAGGATGTCGACCCAGTGGACGCCCCACAGAGACTTGGCAATTTACTCGATGAGTGTTTGGCGGCTTGTCCAGACGCTGTTCTCATCAGCGCTCAATTGACGCCCACCACAAACGCAACGGCAACAGCCTTTATGAACGTCTTCAACCCCACCATCTCCAGACTGGCAGCTAGTCGCGTGAGTGCTGGGAAGAAAGTCATGACTGTCGATATGCGCTCCTATGTTAATACGACGGAGCTGAAGGATGGGCTGCATCCGACAGATTGTGGGTATAATCAGATGGCGATTGGGTGGCAAGATGCGATTCGGCAGGCTATTTCTATGGGGTGGATTACTCCTCCGGTGGCTGTGAATGGTCTTTCGAGTTGAGACTTGAGCGTGTCTTTGTCTTAATATTGGTTATATTGGTTGCCGTGCCACTGGGATGTGGGATCCATAGTTGAAGTGGCACAGCAAGCCTTTTGTAATCTTACCATCACAAGTTCACAACACTTCAATGTATCAGAACGAGCTGGAACGAAATTAGCAGGTTTCAACGGAGTGAGGTTGGAGAAGTATTTATTCACAAATTTATTAAGAAGCAATGTTAATTAGAGGAGCAAGGGACTTCTCCCTTTGAAGTTTGAAGTGTCTCAATTGCGATCATACAGGGAGGTGCCGCAGAGGTGACCAAATGTACTCACCAACTTGCCACAAACTTCAAATTTCGCTCTGGTCACAGCATACACGCATCTCCGTAGAAAAAAAAGTCTGTATGCATCTGCTTAGACTCAAACATTCTGGTAGAGTCCCTTTCCTGCGAGACTTCTTTCGTCTGCCTGCTGTCATAGTATGCTGCAGTTCAATTCGCAGAAATGAAAGCTCCAACAATCTTCACTTCAATCATGCCACCATCACAACCTCAGAGTGTAGATCCCAACCCTCCATTAGTGCCTCATCCCCTCCACTCATCGCTCTTAATTTGATGTTTGTAGTGGCCTCGCTCTCCACTCCTGGCTTCGGCATCTCCTACCGATTCATGGACCCGATGCCGCCGTCGTGTTCTCCCGGTCATTCATGGAGCTCTTCACATCCTTCCCCGTCCCTGCATCTCACGCTTATTCTCCACTGCTCAGCTCAGAGTTATGCCGGTTCTCCTCATCCACAGTTTCAGCAATGATCCAGAGTTCGTTTCCACAGTTACTCAATTGCTTATATCCAACCAGCTAATCATCACACTCTTTCTGTGCTCAATCCAATTCAGCGATGTCCCCATTTTTACTCTCCTGCGAACCAGCACTAAGACTGCATTCGAAAACATCCAGTTTGAAAGTAGGCCGTTGGATATCGGGGGGAGTTGGCAAGGGCTGCAGCTTGAGCACCTTTGTAAGCGGGAGCAATTGTTGTTCAGCTTGCTCTCGAGAAACACCTCTAGCCATTAAGCTATCTTCTAATTGCTCAAGCATCTCACTTGTGCTCAGATGCCGATCCTTCTCAACAGATGAGTGCCGCTTCTCGAGCATCCTCATCACCTCCTTTTGAGCTCTGTCGTATTCTTCTTCTATTTTCTGTTGTCCCTCTCGGCTTTCGACCAACTCACACAACTTTACAGTCGATGATCTTCTTTCAGATGGAGTCTGATTCTCGAGCAGCTCCTTCATAACGCAAAGGCTCTCTCGGTGAGCCGGAAGCTTTTCGCGGAACGCTTCGAGCTTTGCCTTGTAGAGAATCATATACCGTACTTTATCCACAACATGCACGCTGGGCTTGCGCTTGCACTCATGCAAGATTTTATTCACACTTAACATGTCCCTGTGTAAAGGCTCCAGCGAGCGTTTGATGACGGGAGCGCTATTCTTGTTCAGCTTTCCTCCTTTTGTAACTTTGGTAGAGAAATCCTGGCTTCGAGCAGCTTACATATCAGGCCGTGCGGTTACAAAAGCTTTTTCGTCCCCTATTTGGCTCTCCAGTTCCTTCAAGTGTGCTCTTATCAGCTTCATCTCCGCGATAACGGATTTGACATCCTCGGGTTCATCGTGAATCCCTCTGCTGCAAAGGTCCACCGCTCCTTTGCACACTGTAAATACGTCACCGACTCCTAGCCTTAATGCCATGGCTGAATGTTGGCTTGAATTTATTAGGCATGTGTAGTGGTTTCGTGGTCGGGTTGATGATTGAAGATGGGATATGACGTCCGTGCAGCTCCGAAACTAGTCGCGCGCACATGATGGGGTCACGGAAAAGCCACCAAGTTAAGCGGAACCCATGTACGCATCCACGAATTTGATTGGATGACTACTACAGCCAAAAGTGGTTGTCGACGTGTCTTTGCAGATCTCCTTGACATGTCATTCACTCTGACCATTAACAAACTGGGTCTTCCCCGTAATCACTAAAAGCTAAACCTATAACAATACGAAGCTACTCGGGTCGTGTAAGCTATCCCTAGGGCTGTGCTCCCCTCCCTAGTTAAATGTAACAGTGGTCAAAGTGCAGGGTTTTTTTTGTATGGCAACTCAGCCGTGCCAGGCTGGTTTTGCGGGGACCCACTATTACATTTATTTACCGGTGGGGGGAGCACGACAGTGTCTGCTGATTGACCTAAAAGTTCGATCTTACATTCCTAGTGGCCCACAAGCTGAAAACGACCAAGTCCTCTTAGATAAGCCTAGACATTCCCATCCCTTTAATGTTCAAGAGCTTGGACATTTGCCCTTCACCTTCGACTATGTCTTTTCCAAACGGAGTCTTTCTTGTACTTTTACTCATTGTTGCAGTGGTATGGAAGTTTACCCTGGGAAGAAAACCTTCCACGTCTGTACCACTTCCCCCAGGCCCACCAGGAGATCCAATTATCGGCCATGTTCGCATGGTTCCATCTTCCAGACCTGAACTATCTTTTCAGAAATGGGGGGAAGAATACAACTCCGATGTAATTTATCTGAACTTCATGGGCCAGCCAGCTGTCATCCTCAACAGCGCCAAAGCTGCTGTTGACTTGATGTAAGGATCGCGGTTGGACCTTGTCCTGGCTATATTTTTTTTTACTGCTTAACTGTCATCTATCCTGTTTCCAGAACATATTTTAACATCTTCCAAAGGTATCGGTTGATAATCCATTTGCTGACCCCCACACTTTCCAGGGATAAACGTAGCGCCATCTACAGTGATAGACCTGGCTTTCATTTCTTCGAAGAATCTGGATGGAGAGACTCTGTTACTTTCTCGAAAGCAGCGAGCCCTACATTTCGCAAGCACCGCAAGATGTTTCAGAGCGCCTTCTCACCAACCAGCATTATCCAATACCGCGACAAGCAAGAAAATCTTGCCCGAGCACTAGTCAAACAGATCATCCAGAATCCTACGCAGTGGAGGCACCTTCTTACAAGATTTGCAAGCTCCCTTATTCTATCTATTGCATACGGGATTCGAATTACGGAAGACAATGATCCATATATCGTTCTTGCGGACAAAATCGCATGGTACTTTGCCAATGGAGGTTCTCCAGGCTCCACATCCGTCGATATAGCGCCGATTATACGCCGCCTTCCAACCTGGGTGAGGATATTTCCCTCCTTGAATTTCGCTAGAGACAGCTACCCCATGGTTAGAGAGTTCGTCGAATCACCTTTTGCTTCAGTCAAAACTCAGATGGCAAGTGGGTTGGCCGGATTCTCCTTTGTCCGCAGAATGCTAGAAGAGAAGCAATCTGCAGGGATTGGTGACCAAAGTGGTATCACTGAGGACGATATCAAGGGGGCAGCTGCAACTATGTATGCAGCTGGGGCAGATACCACACTGAGCACGCTTGTCGTTTGGGTCCTGTGCATGGTCCAGAATCCAGAAGTGCAGGAGAATGCTCGCCAAGAACTCGATCGCGTGGTCGGTAGGGACCGTCTCCCAAATCTAGCAGATCGAGGTACATTGCCGTGCATTGATAGGATGGTCTACGAGACGGCTAGGTGAGTATTCTTTTGTTGCTCAACTACGTCGCTTAACTAGAGATCATCAGATGGCACCCAGTCGTGCAACTTGGCGTCCCTCATAAATCCACCAAGGACGACGTTTACAAGAACATGTTCATACCAAAAGGGTAAGGACGAAATTTACGTGCTCACTCCAACTCGGGGCTAAATTTCGTGTTCGATGCTGATATGGCCAATTCCGCAGATCTTTAGTCATGGCAAATGCACATGCAATTACTCACGACCCAGCTGTATATTCTGATCCCGACAAATTCAATCCAGATCGATACATTCCCGCTTCAGAAGGAGGGGCTGGTGAGCCATTACCTGTAGGCCACTTCGGATTTGGACGACGGTAAGGATTCGGCTGATATCTTCCAATTTTTTTTAATAAAAAAAATCAAACCAGGAACAGTTGGACTTACAAGATGTTGGCAGAGTCTGTCCCGGTCAATACCTTGGAACGGCGAGTGTTTGGATATCCATTGCAACTTTGCTCGCAACACTCAAAATCTCGAAGGCCATCGACAACCAAGGAAATGAGGTCATCCCAACACCTGAGATGACGACTGGATTAGAAAGGTATGTGCTACGCGTTATTTGTCTTAATACTTGAGTTCCTGGGAATGATTTTGTAGGCTGACTATTATCTTTATGAGATAGTCATCCAGAGGAGTTTCCGTGTGTGATTGAGCCACGTGATGAGCAAGCTGTAAAGCTCATTCGGACTCTTAAGTAGTGGGCAGCGGAGGGCAAGTGGGAGAGTTAACGAAGCAGGGAAAAGGCACCTCGCTAAGAAAAGGGGAAACGGTCACATTCTCAAAGCTGCAGTCATAATTCACTTTTGCTCCTTATAATATGTACTTTTGATGCCTTTTCAGGTAATACCAGACAAATCAGTGAATATTCAGACATTAGCAAATCTCTACCCGTCACACATTATAGTAGTAGCATACCAAAAATCGATAACAGCTGGACAATACTTGACAGTGAAGTCTCAAAGTTTAGATAATCGTCATCTATTTATACATTGTGGCAATAGTAATTCTGATTTATTGGCAATTTTAGTTGCAATAACTAAATTTTGTGCTTCAGGTGATTTTCACCTGTAGGCAAGGCGGGCCGAAATTAACCATGAACGGTAATTGATAACAGAACCTCGGCGTTCGGATGTTTTCCATTTTCTTATATAATCCAATTCCAGTGTGTCAAATGAATAGAGTAGAATAGAATAACGGCCGTTACTCTTATTTTATTCATATAATATTCAAGTTATTCATGAATAATCATGAATAACTTGAATAACGCACGTGATCTGTGCACGTGATTGAGCTAGCCTAATAGGGTAAGGCTTCGGGGGGCCCGCACCTAGCGCTACCTCGCTACCCAATCAGGTGGTAGTGGCACTTGGTAAGCGAATCGAACCTTAGCGATAATTAGTTTATTTATTATAGAAAATCTGTATTTAAGTAGCCTTATCTAAGTATTAGCTTAGCTTATATAAAGCTACATAATAAATACCTTAGTTCTTTGTTTTAAATTTAAATATATGTTAATTTATTATAATTAATTGACTTCTACGTGACTTCTACGTGGTTATTCATGGTTATTCATGTTATTCATGAATAATTATTCTATTTTACTCGAATTATTTAAGATATTCGTTACTCTTATTTTATTCAAGTTATTCATGAATTATTCGTGAATAACTTGAATAACTTGAATAATCCTTTGATACAGTGTCCAATTCCGAATAAAGGAGATATTCGAGGTTACTGGACAGTGCTTCTCATGTTTGGAGGTTTAGGAATCTTGGCGGGCTTCTTCAATACAAATGAGGTAACCTGGAGGTTCGCGGCTTAAAGTAGCGTAAAGATAGAGAAACGAGCCTTTGCCGGTTCTAGCATTCGAGTTTCTCAATTACAACTTACACATCAAATCTTGCTGCCGACCTTCACTCTCAAGCCTGACCTGCAACCGAGTCTACGAAAGAGAGTAGCTGAAAAATTCTTTTACTTAACCAACGCTGTGTCTCTTAATAGTATCAGAAGCGCAGTGCTCTGCTAACAGTAAAGTTACCGCAGTGAATGACGGTTCTGCACATTTGGCCTAGCCGTTTTCGGAACCAAGGGGTCTTTCCTTAAACGGCTCTTATACTTGTACCTAAAACTCAATGAAAACTAGCTTGGTAGGACATGCTTAAAATCGCTAGCGTCCCTTACCTCCCTCCTAGCGATGGTGTTCCCGTCCTGCATTGTGGGCCAGAGTCTTGCCTTGCCTTGTGGTGTTGTGAAACTGCTCCGCCTTTTGTCGCGCTTTTAGTTACACAGGCACTAGTACTGTGTTCTGGAACACGGAACCGTGGTCCCGTGCGAATTCTTTGAGAGGAAAGGCCTAAAGCAGGTGATAACAAAAAGATTGTTGACAGCAAGGAAAGGTAAGATGAAGTTTCGTTGGAAAACCTGTTCTTTGCCCAGAGAAGGAAAGTGTAGCTCCAGTAGTAGAGAAGACCCTGTCTAGGCGCAAACACTCCCACAGTAAGCAGCCATATAGAGTACGATTGAGAAGTCATTTTTAATACTTTGAGGAATGTGGATACTGGCGCTTCTTGTTGTCCTGGTTCTTTCTTGATGGTGGATTATAGAGAGAGCGGGAGGGGAGGTGTAGGAAGTGGGGAAACTAGATCTTATTGAGAGAGAGAGAGCGAAATAGCTTGACATACTAAATGGTGAAGTGTATACTCTCTTACTTGAAAGTAAAAACAGAGACGACAGCAAGAATTATTCAATACCGGATGAGAAGCTCACCCGGCTCAATCATTGTTGAGGCGATCAGGCCACTGTAAAAGTTTTCAACCCCTGGGAATGGCCAGTAAGAAGTGAGCTTTATAAGGATCTACGATAGCTTTTGAAATTTATGAAGTCAAGGTATCGTAGTCGATATAGGTGCTGCTTGATATGCTAGTTGGATGCGATCTTTGATGCCTTATAAATAGCTGGCGTCCGAGTGACGAAGGGTTCGAGATTTCTTGTCTTGCACTACTTCAGGCGGGCACTTACTGACTACACCCGTATGTGTTTCGAAATTCAGCAAGCTGACTTGTTTGTATTACCTATTATGATTACCCAGATTCAAAAGCGAAGTTTACATGTATTAGACATTGCTAGACTCGACCGAGCGTCAGAATTTCCAGATTACAGCTTCCTCGTTAGACCAACTCTCTTGCCTCCCTTGGGGGACCGCCCAGCTCCACATCCGTCCTGGCCGAGCTCAAACTGGCTCCTCTGGTGGCTGGTGCAGACCCAAAAAGTGTCAAATCTTTGGATACCCTCCTTTCCACACGCGGGACCTCCTCTCTGCTACCTTCCAGCTCAACGTCCCCCGTGGTAGGCCTCTTCATCTCAGCCAGAACACCCTTCCTCACTCTCCTCCTAATAACAACAACATAAATACATATCCCAATGCTCACGGCCACCTCTGCGCCAATAATAATACTATCAAAGAAATCCTGGGCACCGCAAAATAATGCCAGACCAAGCAGCCCGATGAGTATCGCTGCTATGCTCTGTATCTGGAATTCTTTGGTGGTGAGTCTGAAGCTGGCGAACTTCTTGATGATGTGGATTATGTAGATGGAGAGGATTGAGCCGAGGATCATGTTTATGCCCCAAGCTGCACGCTCAAATTGAGAGCCGCCAGCGTCAGAACCGGCATTGGCGACGAGGCTGAGGAGTTTAGCGGGGTTGGCAGGAGCAGGAAGGTGACCATACATGAGTAGCGTGAGACACCAGCTGAATTCGAAGAGGGAGAGGCCGAGCTGGAGGACCCAGAGGGTAATTAGGACCTTTTTACTCCATGGGGCGTGCTTGTGGAGTTTCTCCTGTCTTGCCATTTTGACAGTGAGAGATCAGGCTGCGTTGCGAGGCGAGAGTGTGAGGGGAAGGCGATGGACTGTCCCTCCCGGTGTTTGAGGGGATGGATGACTCGTGGGTGGTCAGAAGTTCAGTTTGGTAGAGACTTTAGGTAAGATTTTTAACAGATCTAGGCCGCCTGAAGGGTAACGGTAAATATTGGGAGCTGAAATTGTCGTATGTTCAAGGCTATGACCCCACTTCACGTGACGGAGTCACGCGACCAGTGATCATAAATTTTCTGCAGAAGAGAGGAATACTTCTAGAAAGAACATCCACGACAGAGGGGATCTTTATCTTTATCCTTATATCTAGCAAAAATCTTTCCCTTTGGATTGGGGCTTTGTTCCTGCTCCTGTACACCTTACCAGGTCTTGACTTGGCTTAGCGAGGGAGATCGTATGGCGACGTACGGTAGTTGCATAGCCACCAACGAGAGCTTCGCCTCTCTTGGCATGTCTTGGGTGAACCCAATTGGACCGCGCCGCAGAGGTACATGGCCAATCCCCTCTGAATACAAGATCTTGCACCCGCTTCCTATTTGTTTTGTTCTTAGGTTTATTCAGGTGCAAGGGGTCGTCGGTCACTCAGCTTTACGCGGAATGGAGGGCTTGTCTCAAATTCCCTTTTTTTGGCCTACGAACCACAAGGCGGTTTGTTTTCAACCTCTAATTTCTGGATGCCCAAATGGAAGTGGAAGCGTTATCTTGCTGGCATTCTGTATTAGCACTTGAGAGTGCTTAACAAATGCACTTGCTAAAGAAAGGGATTCAAAATTGGGGCGATAAACGCGCCCGAGCACAAGAGTCATGCTCACTAACCACATTCGAAGCACGGGGTGAATGAAACTGATATGTTATCACGATATATTACCTCGGAATTTGCAGTTGGGAACAATAATGCCCATACCAGCAATGCTATCTCGTTTCAAGGAGGTGCCCAAAACAACACCCGAGGTAAACATGCCTGGTCTGATCCTAGATCTTTCCTTCTGTAGTCAAGTTTGGAATCCTTATTGTTCACACGATGATGTGCAGCTTAAACTCAATTGCGAAGGAGATAAGACGAGGCGAGTGACAACGCCCGTAGACTTGATGACAAAGAATGACCTACAAGGGAGGATGGAGCTGGGGATAGTGTTGATTCATATCTTAGGTTGTTCTGGCAATCAAGAGATTGACGGCAAATCGGGATTTGGAATTGGAAACAAGAATAGAATACAAGTTGTGAACAAGATGGATTGGCCTAAGGTCAAGAATTTCTCATTCGAATTTCGAAATGGTTCTTTTTATATTCCCGTCTACATTCCTAGTACGGGAGGAATTTAGCAAGTATTATTAATAAATGACAACTTTGAATACTTTGATCTTTAGGGTCGGAGCAGGTTCTCCTATTACAAGCCAAGCTCGGCCCCAAAGCATCCCATTTAACATCTTCCTTATCCATGGAAGTCACCTCGTGTAGTCGCTATGATCGTCGTGGGATTTTGTCTGCTCGTTGTCTTCGCCATGTGGGAATGGAAGTTGCAAAGCTTAGGCTCTTTCCTAGGATCGTCTCCCAACATCGCAACTTCCTTATCTCCTCGGCTGCATAGTTTATTGAATCTCTTAAGCAGGGTTGCCAGCATCTAGCACCCCCCTGTTGGTACCTGATGGTCTCGGCGGCTTTCCTCAATATATCCCGCAATTCCTGGAATAACGGAGGCTATTATCGAGGCCGCCACCCAAGCCGTGGCGCAGGCGTACCCAGACTCCTGGCGATACGTCTCGTATATTCTACTCCCATTTTGGCTTTAGTGTTCTTCCTGCAATCAACGAGCGCACAGATGACACAGGAAGTTCCGTCGCCTGTCCTCAAAATCCACAATCTCTACCATCTCAATGAGGAGGATGAGAAGGTCGCTACTCTGGCGTAAAGAAGAAAAATTAATTTTCGCATATATATTTATCGAAATTCTCTTTATCATGTGAAACTAAATTCAAAGTTGCTTCATTCGTGGATGTGGTATGTGCAATATTCTGTTGCTTAACTGCAGCTTAATATTCACATAGTGGCGTCTTGTTCTCAGCTCTCCGACTGTGGTCGTAGTTAAATTATAGCTTCATATTACCTTTGAACTTTGATATTAGCTATGTAACTACTAGCCTTTAAATGAGATCCTTTCGTCCTCTCAGTTGAAATTCTCATTGCAAGTAACAAAAGTAGGTCGAAAAACGCCATAAATTCAGGACCTGAGTAATTTGACCGGTCACTTTGGTCACACATTGGTCTTCCAAGCCACCAATCCACTACTCGGAAACCCAAAACAACTTCTATTGAGAGGTCGAAGGAATAAGCGAAGGAATTCCAATACTCGATCACGAATTCTTCTGAATCTGGTGGCTGAAACCAAGTTTTCAATACCTGTGCGTGTTGTTACTGCAATAATGTTACTATCTCCGGGTATGCCGTTGCATGTGAAAGGGGTGTCCGTCCATCGTTGTCTTCGCTCTTGATGTCGATGTCCGCGGCAGTTAATAATAACCTGACAACCTCTAGATAGCCGTAACCTGCTGCAAACGAGAGGGCACTCCGGCCATTTTGATCCTTCTTATTTACGTCCACGAGGCCGGAGTCAAGAAGCACCTGCACAGTCTTTGGGCTTTGGCTAAAGAGAGACCATGCTAACGGCGTCCAGCCGTCGATATCTGCCTCATCAGCACCTTGCCGATCATGCTTAATCAGATATTTAACCACCCCGTGGTGGCATCCCGAACAGGCCCACGAAATTGCATTTCGCCCCTCGTTATCCTTTTTCGACAAGTCGATGCGCTGGCTGCGCCGAAGGCAAACGGTCGTTTGCAAATGTCCGTTTCCTGCTGCCCAAGATAGCGGTGTTCGGCCAGTTCGATCTACTTCGTTAGCATTGAGGTCTTTCAGACCTATCAGACATTCTACGAGCTCAAGCTCGCCTCCTGAAGCGGCCCAAGAGAGGACGTTTCGGCCCAATCCGTCCACGTGATTTATAGAGAGACGGTTATCTGCAAGGAGCAACTTAAGTACTTCCAGGTGTTTCCCATGTACAGCCCAGAAGAGGGGGGTCCAATGGTTGAAGTCTGCTATGTCGGGCTTGATTAGGCTGTGTTGGAGGAGCTCTGCAACAACTTCGACAAAGCCGTTACCAGCTGCAATAGACAAAGGTGTCCGGCCACCCGTCGTGCTATGATTAACACGGGATTCCTCATGTTGGGGAACATGCCTCTCATCTTTCAATAGACGCTTTACCACTTCCAGGCGATTGAAAGAAACCGCAGCGATGAATGTATTTTGGCCATTCAGGATCTTCAAATCAGGATCGAGCCCTTCTCCAAGAAGCAGATCTACTACCTGATGGTGTCCGTTCCGCGCGGCCCAATGTAGACCACGTAATCCTACTTCAGTCTCGATGGGAGTTCTCTCGCGTAAGATGGTTTTGAGAGATATCGAGTGGCCGAAGTAACATGCGGTCACAGCGGGAACGAAATCTTGAGGGCATGACAGATCGATCTCAGCCTGAAGCCAATAGACCCTTAGCCAATTCATGCCGCGAGAGCTGCTGGCATCTGACAACAAGATTACTAAATTTTGGAGCTCGGGCGTCCCCATTGAGCCGGCCAAGGAGACATGTTCTGGCCAATGTCTAGCGGAATAGTCAAAAAACGTGTATTTTGTTCCGATGAACGCGCAAGCCTCTGCCTCAAGCGCTAGGGGCTCCTTGAACAAATAGTCCTCCTCCAAAAGAAACGGGTCCCAAGACTGTCCGGTGGATCCATCGGCGGAGACTGCGGCGGAGGAGGCGGGAGAGACTCCAGGGCTTGATTCATCTATGGAGAACAGGTCCTGCTTGAAGTTGTCAAGCAACAGATAAGAGACGCACGCTTCGGCCATGAGCAAGCTTGCCCTGCCTAAATTTACGCCGTAGATTGCAGAGAGTGGGCTGTCCGTTTGGGTTTCGAGAGCTATCAGGAATTCCTTTAGCGACTGGTGGGCGAGATGGACTCGATTGTCCCAGACCCTCACTAGTGGGCCTAAAACCCCTTCAATTGTTTCCCGAACGTTAGGCTGAGAATCCTCCTCTACGGCAGATAGCCTACCATGATGGTGCTGTATTGCGATGAGAATTTGTATCTCGTCTAGAGTCAGAGGCCTTAAGCTTCCGACGAGGAAATGCAATAACCTAGTGGCGAGCATTTGGTGCTCAACTGGGATAGCTTGGAGGTAACGTTGGTATGTGGCCGTCAAAGTCTTTGGCAATTCGTCGATGATACGCTTGAAATCCTGTTGCGATGCCAAAAGACTCTTTTCCAGGAGATGAAGTACGAGATTCACCCAGAGAAAAGTGCAATCTGCTTTGGAATACAAAGCATTCTCAAGGTATCTCCTCACGTCAGGCTTGCATTGCGTTCGTTGGACGATAATTTCAATTTTCGTCTGTATTACAAGCCTTAAATCTTGTTCGAGGTGGTGCTGATCGATTTGCAGAAGATTCGTAGTATACAGACGTCCCAATCGAGGGCGACTTGTGATAAGGAACTTGATGCAAGGAGTATGTGGTCCATTAGAATTTGACTTGCGAATGAGGTGTAACGTGTCCTGTAAGAAGCGTTCTCTTGTTGTCTGCTCACACTCATCGATGGCGTCAATGATGACGCTTACCGTCCCAATCCGCTTGTCACTTGCAATGGCTAAGAATATTCTCCAAAGTTCATGGAAATTCTGGTCAAAATGGGGTCCGTAGAAGTCGTACGCAGCCTTCACATGCTTGACTAACAATCGGCGTCGCATCAACAGCTGAAGAATGAGGCTCCTGACAATGGCCAAGCCATCCCGCTGGGTGTTACTCTTTTCGTCACAAAAGAAATAACATAGGGTTGTGCGCGTGCTTGGCGAACGTTCCCCTGTGGTGAGGTATTCCAGAAGGTAGGCTGAGAGGATTGTCTTTCCACTCCCAGGATATCCACTTATCCAAAGAAGGCAAGGTTCATTTTGCACATTCCAGTCACGGTATTGCGCATCTGACAAAATCCATTGACAAGTACCCTCTACGCGGCGGGGAAGCGAGGACTTGTATTCTGCCGCATTTGATGTGTTCTGAGTTAGCAGCGAAAGGCATTTTCTTTCGACATCGTTCAGAGCTTACACCTTTGCTCAGCTGCGTTCCACTGTGATTAGGAGCTCAGAGCTACATACAGTATGACGTAGAAGTTGTCGTCGCTTGACTCGGAGACCCAACCTGTGCTTCAACAACCAATCTTTCCCTCTCAAATGCACCCTGTTCCATCTTCTGCTGTATTTCGGCTATGAGGATCTTGATTTCTCCCGACACCTGTTTATACCCCTCATCGTCTTTGCTTGGAAATCGGCACATTGACATGTGGTTGGCGTTAATGGTTTGCGTTGGTTCCGTAGTGATCGAAGACGAGAAAGGCTCTACGACCTAGATATTGTAAAATGCGATGAGTTTCAACATCTTCAAGATAGCTGTGCAGGATCACCTACCCTTTCATTCAGACTCATATAGCTTATCCCGACCACACCCTTGGCTTCCTGGAACGTCAGAACCTTGAAGTGTCGATTCATCTGGTCATACAGTTTCATAAAGAGCTCATGGATCAGCTCCAATTCGGTACTGTTCACTTGAAGTGCCTGAATATTCCGGTTTGTTGTGTCGAATCCTGATACAGAAACAATTTTTCTGACCACTTCTGCAATTTCAGCTTTATTGCTACCCCGGTGGGGTGTTCCAAGGAAAAGTATCGCCTCCGTGGAGTTGTATATATCTAGCAGTGCCGGTTCAGTGGTTGTGGCGGCGCGGTAGAGGACCTACATGTGTGATAGTCAATACTTTTCACAAGTGATGGGCTTGTCGCCCCTCAGAAATACACACATCTTTCACGATGATCCCTGTGTTTTGTCAGCCCGGGATAATTGGATTTTGTGTTGATTTTGAAAGACTTACCACCAAAAGAATGTGCTACAAATATGATGCTTCGGCCTTGCTGGTTCGCGATTAGTCGAACGCCGCCAAAAGGGTTCGAGAAACTGACGCAATTCAATCTGCGGAGCTTCAATGCCTGCAGCAGATTTTTGGCGTGTGCGCTTATGTTGCTCTGGTTTGCCGGCCCGCTGAAAAAGTGCGAGACCATTGAATCATATCCCCATGTGAGGATCCGTGAATTCTTACAGTCCTCCGGAAGAAGGTCAAGTGGCCAGAAGACCCCATCTGCTCCAAGCTTGTGCGAGCCCTTGGTACCATGTCTATGTCTAGATGTCCGCGAAAAGAGATTCCTCATGGTTCGATGCGAGGTGCCGACGCCGCCTCCCGAACCCTGTGGTCCCGTCCTAGAGATCTTCTCGCAGGTCCATGTTCGCCGCGGATGGCCTTGCAGGCCGTGGACAAATATGATGCTGTGATCGAATTAGACTGTAGTTATGGCCTTTGTGCAGCATGGACTCACTCTGCAACCGCATCTTCTGGATCGTGAAGGAGGGAAAAGCCGATGTCGTTGATTCGAGGAGTTTCTGCCTGCGATAGGCTTTCCTGCTCCCGAGACCTTCGTCAGCTCTTCGCTTCATACGCTTCCGTGCAGACCTGTTACATACCATGTTTGCACTACATGCGACACAACCGCACGTTGAGAATTCGCAGTGGGAGACGGTTAGGGAGAGCCACCGAAGGTCGAATCATGTTGGAAATCTCCAAATCCGCTGGCGACCTGATTGGCTGGCACGATTTTCCAAAGCGCGGCTGGAAGCCTGGAGCGGGGCTGCCAATGTGCCATAAGCGCTTCAAGGAGCGCAGCCAAAGGGCTCAGCGGGGCGGTTCCCGGAGAGTGGCGCCCCGGCGCGACCCGTGTGCCGAGTAGTGCTAGTATGGTTAGCAGGACTTAAGACCCCACAAAGGCTAGCCTTCTTTGTTTCCCATGTGAAGAGGAGAGATATACGTACGAAGTACAATAAAACCTCGATATAAGGATACCGAAATTGTCACCTAAATGCAAGGATAATGCGAGTTATACTTGTGGCGAGGGTCACGTGACAGGGTTGCTAAGATAATACTCTTTTAGTTTAGAGACTTTACGCCAAGTAAGATTATGCCCTGATTATGCCCTAAATTAATTTTTTTGAGTTAGCCTTAAGGGAAATACGCTTTACTTTTCTTGTCTAATAAGGAAACTATTAAAATTCAGGGGCTGTGCCTGCCCGCCCGCCCCCTAACTTTTAAGTAAAGACGTAATTTCCAGAGTTTTAAGAGAGCTGAGCTTTCTAAAAAAAATTAAAAAAACACTATAATCAAGCTTTAATTCAATAGAAAATCCTCAGGTTCACTCAAATTCGAGCTAAATTTCAAGGGTTCTTAGCAAGGTTTAAGGTAATTATAAGAATATCCCATACAAGTTCTTAGTTCGGGACTGGAATCCAAAGATAATCCTTATATCGAGTATCTTTATATCGAGTATTGTCGTATGTACGGGTACTAGGGAGCTTAGCTTCGCTTACTCAGCGGCCCCTTTTATTTCCAGAGGCTCCCTTCAGAGCTTCTTTTAATCAGACAACCACTTATGCAAATCACTGTTCCTTGCTATTTTGCGATAAGTATCTTTATATCGAGTATCCTTATAGCGAGGTTTTACTGTAAGTCCTACGTGCATGGGTGCGAGGAATATGGTGACTCCCCCGAAACCGCAGAGCAAAGAGGATAGGTGCCATACGCGCCATGAACCGTATTCGTATTCGGTAGGTGCACCTCGCTTCATCCCTTTGCAATGACCAGTAGCCTCCTCCACTAGACGATCTGGCTCTTATCTACGACTATTTATATAGGCATCTCAAGGAGTCCGTTGCTTCGTTTGTAGAAATATCTTAGGCTCCTTGGCTGCCGCTGTTACTAGCCATCTCGTGTCCTCGTAGCTTCAGTCTCCCCAGCTTTACCTCTACCTCCTCCTACCACCTACTTATGGACTACTTTTGATTTCAATTCTATACAAGCTCTGAATCTATTAGCATTTAGCATTTAGTATTGCGCTAAAACCTGGTAAATATTAGCGTCGGTTAGGGATGAGAGGTGCTAGATACATAGGAGTAGGATTTAAATCTGAGTGTTAAAGAGAAGAGGGAGGGGATGGGGAGGGGGAGGGGAAGTTAAATTGATTGATTGATTGATTGATTGATAGTGGGGAAGGGAGGGTGTTGGCGCGGAATGAATGGATTATTCCTAAACAAATATGGATGGATGGCGGGTGGATTTAAGGGGAGTTTTCAAAGGGAGGTTATAGATAGGGAAGTAGGTGGGTAATTTTATTCGTCATTGAGAGATGAGGAATCATCTGAAGTATTTGGAGGGCTCGAAGGAAGAAGGAAAGATCGCTTTGTCCCTGATATATATATTCTCCCCTTTGCATCAACATCCTATCGCTCATCCATCCATCATCCATCATTCACTAATAAACGCAAACATCTTAATCTCAATACTCTCTCTCGGCTCCGCCGTAGCAAACTGGGAATCCACAAACGCACTGTGAGGCAAAGAAACGCCGTTCTCGACCTTGCTATCAAACTGCTTGAAAAGCAACGCCTCATCGGGTCTCTGACCACCAAGATAAAACCACTTCTGCCTCTCACTGAAGTGCACCTTCCCAAACTCATGCCAACTACCATCCTTCCAAATCAGACGGCTGCCAGCGAGATCATTCTTCGCATCCACGGTCGTCCAGTCGCAGACAGTCAGGGGATCCTTCTGGATTGTCTTCAGCGGGCGCCAGACGTTCATGACCATGATGCGGGTCTTCAATAGCGAGTCGAGCTCCGCTGGGTTGTCTTTGACGATATTCTTGAGCGTATTCATCGCGCCGATGGGGGTCATGTCTGAATGGACGCTGTGAGCTGGTGCGACGGAGTCCTGGCGTTTGGCCTTGTCTTCCGCCTTGTTCCGGATGCGATGTTTGAACAGAATTGTTTTGAATGCTCCCGTGCTGTGCATCAAGATAAGTTAGAAAGTGTACTCACTCACTCGGTCCGCGAGAAATATAATGTGTGTAATAAATGAATATACTCACGCTCTCTTGACCAGTTCATCTGTGGCGGGAATCAGAACCCGTTCCACCTCCTCTTCGTTGGACCAGTCTTGCAGCTCTTTCACTTCATGCGGGATGTATTGGAATCCATTCTTATCGAGTGTATACTTTGCCTCCTCGCCGCGGATGTCGTGAACTATCACTTGATGTAACTGGTTAAGGTCATCCAGCTTCTGGAAATGCTCCTCGACGTCTGGGAGTCGGAGATCAATGGCTTCGACGGGATGGTCAAGTCGTTTCAAAAAATAGAGTTCTGTTACGACGTCTCGTTTGGTACCATTTACATCGAACTCGTGGCTGTTTGGGAGCGCGGAGGGTGTTGGTGTTGCTGCCAGCGTGGCGGCCATGATGTAATATCTGGAGGTAATCGTGTAGAGGTTCTTTTAAATGGTCACTGGTGTGAGAGCTGTTGTGACTTGCAGTTGAGTTGGGTTACTGCCAATGGGCAGGCGCTCTGTTATTATTATATTTGCCTGGAACGCAAATGCCGATCCTCGGCTCCGTCCCTCTCTGGTTGGCTTACCAGCATCCCCGCGGTGTCCATGTTGGATGACACTACGGTACGAAAGGGGGTCTCAGCAAATCAAGGTCACCCCCCCAGTTCTGCCATCGCTTAATGCAGGAATTTACGGGGCGAAATTGACGAACCTCGATAATTAATTGGCTGGAAATCTCACCGCCTTACGCGGGGTGACCTTGATATATTGAGACCCCCTTTCGTACAACCTGCGATTTTGCCGAAGGAGTAAATGTATGACCTAGTCTAGACACGTAGTTCTAAAGTTATTTAAGAAATAGTTAGATTTTAAGTTCGTAGGGCTAAAAATCGAGGGGCTGGGGCAGAGCCTTAATAACGCGAGGCTAACTCGAGGCTAGAACATCCCGACTCCGCCGTTTTTTAAACAGCTTTACAACTATGCTTCTAAAATAAGAGTCCTATAGCTCAAATTAATTGCATAAATACGTCCGATAATTTGATAAGAGCATTAATGATTTAGGTCTTTGGTTTTGTGTTCCATGTTTCTCGGAAAAGCCTTCCTTGTTAAGGTCCCACTGCATTACTAGCCCCCAGGGCCTAATAAACGTTAAATGGCACCTAATTCCCTCAATTACTACCTGATTACAGGGTCTCCACCGGCGAGCCAGCTAGAATTACAGGGTGGTCCCACCAATCAAGCTCACTAAAATCACGCGTCACAACAGCTAATTACTGTGAGTCCCCTGTCTCTCCCGCCGCTATAAGGCCAGTCTCTCTCTCTTCCTCTCTCCCTTCCAATCTCAAGGGAATCAACGATTTTTGTACCTACACCAAAGACACCAAATAATAATCCAACGAGCAAAGATAACCGTCTCCGTATACAGACTCTTTACTATACAGCCGGCTGGACAGCAAGCCATATCCTCCTTCAAAATCCACGCCTCTCTCGCCGGCAGGTTAATTACGCTCTCTCCTTCCGTCTTACCTCTCAAAAACAACGATGTGGGAGACAGCCTTCTCTCTCTACCCCACAACGCAAGCGCCTTATCGGCTGGGCTACCTTTAGCTCTTGCTCACGCGATATTCTAATGAAAGAGCTGCCTAGATGGCTTGGATGAAGCTGTGGGGAGAAGGCTGTCCGCACAGCCTTTAAGAAAGAGGGTTACTGCCGGGCAATAAGGAGGAGGAAGCCGCCAATCTCACTTGCGAATCAAAGACTCCGGCTTGCGTGGGCAGAGGAGCACGAAAACTGGACAGGCGAGCAATGGAATGAGATCTGCTGGAGTGACGAGACGTGGGTACAGCCTGGCTACCACAGGAAGCAGTGGTGCACGAGGAAGATCGGTCTAGAGGAGCTCTTCCACCCTGATTGCGTCCAACACAAGTGGCAGAGACGAATTGGTTGGATGTTCTGGGGCTATATAAGTGGGAAGTACGGCAAGGGGACAGGCTTGTGTTGAGAGAAGGAGTGGGGGACAATAACTACGAAAACGTATTGCGAATATATAGTACCAGCGATTCTCAACTACTTATTTAACCACCCAGGGCTCTCCATTCAGCAAGACAGAGGCACAGGGCACTACGCAGTAGCTACTTTAGCTCTTTTAAAGAGTTGGAGAGTTGTACTAATTTTCTGGCCACCGTTCTTGCCAGATCTCTCCCCAATTGAGGATATTTGGAGTCGATTAAAGGATATCTTACAAGAGATAGACCCTGAGGTATACCGGAACTCACAGAGGCTTAAGGGGGCCGTTTTGAGAGCCTGGGAAACGATTACAGATGCAGAGATAAGAGAGAGGAGAGGGACAATTCACCAGCGTTGTTTAGATGTAATTGCAGCTAATGGAATGGAGACAAAGTGGCGAAATCGTGAATAGCTTCAATTATAGTGATTTACCCCTTTGGAGTGATTGAAGTGTGGGATAAAAGCGGCAGTAGTGGCGTAATTTTACGGTTAATGGGCCCTGTACGTAGTACTACGTACTCCGGACACGGTGCTTTGAGTGTTTTAGTAACGTCCGTAATGACTACTTTATAGGTTCCCGAGTGCAAGTACGAGATCGGATAATCAGAAGGCTATGTACTACTCCGCATGGTGCGCGTTTCGGGGAGATTAATTGTCGGGCTCCATGTCGCCGGGCATATTCTCGGGAAAATGTAAAACGACCACCGGGGGACTTGCTCAATACCTGTTCGTGGTATCACCTACGAACCTGCAGCTTATGCCCTGTGTCCTTGGTATTACACTGCATCCAGGGGGCAGAGGAGAGTCTGCAAAGCCAAGATTGAGCGGGTGGTTACTGGAGGTGACCCTTCGGGAGTCCTCCTTTGGAGAAAAAGGTATGGAGAATTACTCTGGACACCTGGAAACGATCTAAAAAGAGCTCGCAGAAGCTTGTAGCCGCTAATAGAGGTCTAAGAACCTCTTTAGAGGTAGAGGAACTCTATATTACTACTATTTAACGTTAAATATCTTCCCCTTGCCATTAACTCCTTTACTACTATTCCGAATTCGAATTAATAGTAATATCTCTCCTTATAATTAATATATATATTTGCTAGATAAGAAGAGGGCTCAAGGTCTAATAAAGCAGTAGTTCTCTATAGCTCAATTAATAGCTATTGCTTATAGCACTAGTAATTATAAAGATATTTAGAAAAACAAGAGCAATTCTCTTTTTATTATCTATTCCAGTTTTGGCTTTTGCTATAATATATATAATAGATAAATAGGTAGTTTTAAGATATTATATAAAGTTCTATAGGCTAAAAAAAGAAAGTATAAGATATATACTATGCTTTTACTTTTTCTATATTTACTAGATATTATAGAGGCTAGTATATTACTAGCTATAAGGTCGGTATATCTAAACCTGTATTAATTAAGATACCTTATATTTTCCGATAATTATATAAAGAGCAAAGTAATATTAGAATATAAACTACAGACACTCTTATATATATACCCTTACCAAATAATAATAGTACTAGAAAACGCGGCAGAATCAGGCTTATCGATCGAAATTGGGGACAGTCAGACTTTCAATTCGTATTGTCCGGAGACGTTTCGGGTATTGGAGGAGAAATTATTTGGGTTGGGGGATATACCATGTTGAGCTGCCTCATGAGAGACCGCTGAAACTGCAGCCTTCAGGAGCTCTTGGAGATTAAACTTCAGATATCGTTGCCCAAGTTGAACTGATTCCTTGGATCTATGTCGGGTCAGCGTAGTTTAGAGGAGAAGAATCCAACGTGCATCCATCGATTCCTCGTGTATCTGTAGAGCTGCTCCTCCGCTATGTCTTCCACTCCAACAATTAGAGATTTCAGAAGTGGGAATAAAATATACACACGTATTCCGTCGGAGTTCTTAGTACTGAGGTGGGGCAATGCTCTCCGACTCTGTCTTTGTATTGAAGCCGCAAAGGGAGTACGCATTCCATATTTAGAAAGAGGAGGATGCAATCGATGAGTCCATGGTCTGAGATACATGCTCTTTTCTTTCCTGGAGTCGTAAATTCGCGTTGTGGTGGGGGACAAAAGTTGCGGTGAAAAGTGGCCAATTCAGTGAGCGGGGTCTTAATCCAAAGGAAGTGATCGCTGAAATCAATGGGTTGTCGGGCTACCTTAGCGGAGAGTATCGCTGAGATATCTAATTTATAGGGCAGTTACAGCGCTTCGACGCTTCACTACCCGAGATTTTGGTTGTAACCGCTCAAGCGTTTGTATCGACGAGACCGGCCCGAGAAGCGATGCTAGTCACTTCTAGTTACCTGGGCCTCATTCAATGCCGACTTCATTCTCTTCTGAGATGGCGGATGTGTTGTTGCGATGTTGGACACGAGGGGCGCTTTGGGATGTTGGGGAAGATTGAGGGTTCGCGACTGAAGCCTGGATGATTTCCAGCCGCAACTCCTTTGCCGAAGGTCACGTAATCAGCCCCTGAAATACGAGCGAAGCGAAGCCAGGCGTCTCAGAGATGAAGCGCGTACTGACACCGAAAGTACTCCAGAAGGCGTCGAAGAGCTTTGCTCTAGCCGCTATTACATTCCAGCCCTCAATTTCACAAGTAAGCTGACCTTGCGCCGGAGCGAAGTCAGGGGTAATTCCCTGAATTATAGGGGCTTCTCGCTAATCATTTTACGGAGATCAAAACACCCCCCGAAGCTTTCAAGAGAGGGACGCCTCTAAAGATGTTTTCGGATAAAGTTAGATCAAGTACTGTTGTAAGAGACATTATCATCTTACTTAACCTCGGTTTCGGAATACCTTGGTATCCATTAGAGCAGTTTAGAACAGTCTGTTAACTGTTGTCACAGAAACCGCCTACGAGTAGCGCCGGAATCTCTTGAACTGCAAATCGCGAATCGCGTCAAACGTGCCTTTCCAAATCCCAATCCACAACCTCACAGAATGACTTGAGGCGCCGCGCACCTCCAGACGGAACCGATGGCCTACTATGAGATGGGCGGCACTGTCAGATATGTTCAGTCGCGTTCAACATTGGTCGAGCTCGTACGAAGTTCGAGCCACCTGAAGCAGGCAAGGGCGTGAGACAGGACTACATCAGATACGATACACTTCGATGCCTAGCATTTCGGCGGCAAAGTGGATGTAGGGAGGATGATGGAGGCATACATGTTGCGGGGCCGGGTTGTTCTTTCGATGGAGCTTACAGTGGGCATCGTTCAACCTGGCAGAAATGAAGGTCAGTAGTGATCCCTCTCAAATCCTCGCTTCATCTTTAATCAATATGGCCGCTAATATTATAATGTGGTAGGGCATGAGTCGGCCACGATGTATTGTCAAAAATCCTGCACAATATCTTTGGGAGGACGATGGGACCGAAGAAGTGGATGATGATGATGACGGCGAGCAGGGAGAAGCAGATGAAATAGAAGGAGAGGAGCAAAAAGAGGAAGGAGTAGAAGAGAGAGTAGAGGAAGGAGTGAAAAGGAGATGGGACGAAAGCAGGGATGACTATTAGGATAAAGAGCAACACGACCACGAAAGGCCAGCGAGTACGTCATCACTCCTCAAACAGCAGACTGGGTGACAGCTCGTTGGTTACATCTTCTACACCGACACCAAGTAAACTTCGGCATTGAAGAATTCTCGCCTTCAAACTACACCACCGGACCAATTGATCCCGATGAGCCCTTGGAGCTCAATGAAAGTTATGGGATACTTGTACACGCTGCCTGCTAGACGATTTTCGAGCGGGTCTGCAAATTACACCTTGGAAGAGTCGATCTACGGGGCTTTGTTGCGCTATGGTAAGTATGAAATCGCATTTACCACTTTGTGAGTTTACTGCTGATATTTAGCTGGTGTAGAGAGAAGCTCGCGAAAGTTAGGGGTTTCAAAACTTGAAGCAAGAGGCTACTAATCAACAACTCAGTAGGCGCCCTGGAGACTGGGCTCACCTTGTTGGGGCCGAGTTGAGTACGGAGTAAGATGGGTAGAATGGTTCCCTCTGTATTATCTGACATCTTAAGTACGTTGCTGCAAATCCATACCGTATCCCGGGCCTTGCCTTCGGACTTTTCGAATCAATTGTAGGCGGCGGCAATACACCCTTCGCTGGAACCTACCCACAATCCGAGCCATAGAAGACTCCTACATCACTTGATCCTTTCAAGGCACTTCCAAACGAATTAATAAACACGGTCCTATTCCAACTGATGCCAAAAGATATTGCAAATATACGCTTGGTCTCTCGATCGTTCCACCAATTACCAGGATATCTCTTCAAGCACCTAATCAAGGGACATATGCCCTGGTTCCGGGAAGTGGATGAACTGGAACATCGGGATGAATGCTTTGGTCGAAGATTTCAGAGTCGGATATTCGCGGACGTACAGCCAACATCAATTGGCTGCGAATATATCAGTAATGCTCGTACTCCAGAAGAGAATGTTGGGCGTCAGAAATCGAGTAAGGATTCACAAGCTTGTGGAAGAAAGCATAGACCGTATTCGACGCTTGCAAACCGAGGGCCCTAGCGGAAAATATCACATCCTAGGAAATCGACTTGAATGGCTCGGGCGTACTGGCAGTCTATCTCCTCTAGAGGCCCCCGTTCATGTGACGCATTCACGGCATTGCCCAAGATGTGTGCAAAAAATTTTTTCAAGTTGCAAGAACTGACGAGCTGGACATTGACGAAAATAAGAGAACTCTGGCCAATTTCTGTTCAAATTTGTCAGGAAATACGACATTCTGCAAAGGAGCAGCAACTCTCAGGTAAGGTAGAAGCCAAACAGATTCAGCCTGCGTTCTGGTCCACCCAATCTTCGCCTTGTCATAATGCAATATTGACATGGTTTATATCACTTCACAAGAACAGCCTCTTCTTGACCGAAGTCGATGGCTGTCGGTTACACTTCTTCCGTGGCAGTATCTCAGAAGATCTTACACAAGCTGCGCCCATCATGTGACAGATCTCTGATGCTGAATTTTCATTGCGTCGTTGAATCAGGTGTCTCCACTCAGAGTTACGAGATGGGCTGCAGTAACCTTAGCGTGCGCCACGCCAACAGGCAACCTCATCCACGAACAACTTCTTCTCTTCACTGTCAAAGCCGCGACACGTCCCTTACTTCATACCCAGGATACCATGGCTGAGAACATCTACTCGGAACTACGTCCTGAACGCCAAGAGATCCGCCTCATGTTCCTTGAGTCCGGCCAACCGGAAGACGAGATCATCGCGAGCCTGCGCTGGGCTCCCGAATGCTGGACTCCCGAGTTTGAAGCACTCTCCTACGTCTGGGGAGACCCTCTGATCACTCGTCCGATCAAGTTGAATGACCAGCCCTACCAAGTTACCGAAAATCTGGAAGCTGCATTACGAAGACTGCGGCATGATGATAGAGTGCGAATTATGTGGATCGACGCTATTTGTATCAATCAACAAAATCCTCGGGAGCAAGAGCATCAGATCGGCCTCATGCGTGATATATTTGGAGGATGTGCTCAGTGTATTGTCTAGCTGGGAGAGGAGGATCATGAAACCGAGAAGGTTCTTGAGTCTCTTCAATGGATGCACGACAATCTGCACGTACATGAATGGCCGTGTTTTTCTAACTCCAAAGCCACCAAGACCCTGTTGGGCGCAGGCAAAAATAACACTTGTGGAATTGGTCCAGCACTCGAGCCATTACAAAAGTTTTTGCGCCGGCCCTGGTTCTCTCGTACTTGGACCTTCCAAGAGTTCGTACTACCAAGAAATCATGAAATACGTTGTGGCCATTTCCAAATCCCTTTTAGCTTTCTATTGAAAGCTCAACAGACATTCCATGATCACACCAGCAAATGCTGCAAAATGAACTCGATTTTTCTCCTGCAGCTTGTCCAAGATCTCAACGTCCAACTCGATATTACCATTATTCCTCTTTGGTACACGCTTAGTTGTCTCCACCGCTGCAAGGCGAGAAACTTTCTAGATATGTTAGATGACACCCGTCACCGAATCGCAACCAGAGATCATGATAAAGTATACGGGCTCATTGGTCTTGCCCCGCCTTACATTCAAAAGACAATACTCCCAGATTACCGACTGGACGTCGCAGCTGTATTTGCCCAACCACTGGTGCGTATTGGCAGTCGAACGCATCTCTAAGACCTCTTATATATGTGGTGAGAAGAGAGAGTTGCAAGTTTCGACTACCATCATGGGTACCAGACTGGTCTCATGCTCCGATGTCTCGAGATTCTCGAGTGCTTCGAAGAGCCACATACGACATTTTCAATGCATGCGGCTACGGAAGTCTTCTTCCAATTAGATGTCATGATAGGATTATCCATGTATAAGGCGTGTGTTCCGATACTGTGAAAACGTTGTGCGACGCCGAGTCAAGGATCCATACGAAATCGGACCTCTTTGTTACAGTATGGGGTTGGCTGGAGATGGCAGCAAAGTGCAGCGTTCAGAAGCCATGCAGAGGGCTCGGGACATTCTCGGAGAACACTCTTTGGAGAATTTTACTTCTTGACAGTGTTGAACCACAGGTTAAAACTGCTTTGTTGCGTCGGGCCACCGAAAGCGATTTCAACAGTCTTCACACCGAATTGGCATCATTCGAAAGCGACTCGGGGTCACTAGAGGCAGACCAAGTGTCTCTACTCATGTGGAACGTATTATATAGAATGCGTCGAGCCAAGCTCATCACTACTAATGGTTGGCTGGGTATGGTTCCACGAGATACTCAAATTGGGGATGAAATATATGTTTTAGCAGGTGGAAGGATACCCTTCGTCTTACGACCTTCGCAAGAAAAGTTTTCCCCGTCCGGTTCATCGAATTCTCAACGTTCCTGTCACACGTTGGTGAGAGAATGTTATCTCGATGGATCCATGGATGGAGAGCTGTCGGTTAAGTTGAGAAGTGAAGCTGTCGATGTCTTCATCGTCTAAATAATCAACTTCTGAAAAGCCTTTTGATACAAACGTGAGATATATGGATTGCATATCGCATTAGAAAAACAGCTCCCATTTAAGTGATGAATTGTGGAAAGTAAGTTCTTGGGAGAAAGAAGGGGCGCGGGGCGTCAGGGACACCATATACTTTGGAAAGAAAATCAGTGTGCCCCTGCCAACCCCTGCAACACCCCTGTTTTGCTCGCGTAGCATTCCTAAAACATGGGTGTACGTCCAAAGGGGAAATGACAGGAGGCCAACTCTGATTAGAATATATAAGCACCCTCTCTGGGTAAACCCTAGAACGGGTGCTTATGCAATTGAGAATTGGATTCCCTTCTAGCCCCCTTCCCCGGCATTTCGCAAGCTAATTTTTATAATTTTATCGTAAAGTAAGGCTTTCTTTAGCCCCCGGTACGCATACAAAAGGTGGGCAAGACGTATGTCCCTCTGTCCCTCACTTGTAATCGCTTAGGAAGTATATCCTCAAGGATATACGTATACTTCCTGCACTTAAGATATAGGTATATATACACTCCTGTAAAGCGCCGAAGGCGCCGAACGCCGTGCCCCTGGCCTCCTAAGCTTTAGAACTCCCAGAACTAGCGCTCTGTCTAGTTTATCCCTAAGACAGGTTTCATGCAGGAATCTTAAAAACTGTGCGTGTAAATTAAAACTGCATACAGAATTTTCGCCCTCTCGACTCATGCACGAGACTGCAACTCAGAATAGCAAAAAACTATCGATAATGCGCACTCGCATTCCCACTGAGCTCACCAACAGTGATATCCGCCGAACCTGTACTATGATACCCCTCAGTGGCAAGAATCATATAATCGTGCGTGCCCAACTTCATGCCCAAATTTGCCCAGGCCGCAAAATGTGCTCCAGTGTCAATTGTTCCGCCAATACGCTTAGTCTGTCTCACACTCCAGAATTGCTGGAAAGTCGCGGTGCCCTTGATGGATGGTTCATTTGTTCGTGTAGTCGTCAGGATATTGTAGACCGACCCATCAGAGGTGACCGTCCCCTTCTTGGAAGCAGCTGATGAAGGGTCGTAGCTGCCGAAATTTTCGGTGATGTAGTATTCCACGAGCGGATCCACGGTCCAACCGTACAAGGAGAGATATCCATTGCCAGGGCTTTGCCAAGTCCCATTGTACGTAACCATCCTGGACAGAAGACTGTTAGGATGTTCTGATTCTATGAATAGATGGAAATAACCTACTTGGCTCCGCCCGGGTTCCATCCTTTTCCAACGACCAAGTTGCCGCTGCCACTGCTCCAGTTGACGGAGTACTCGCCACCAGCGAGGTTGTTGTAAGAGAACGAGCCCCCATCGCTCCAGCACGAATAGAAGTAACCATTGTTCATCCCTGAGCCTTGTGGTGTATCACGCTCGACGACCCTCCTCAACTTGGAGAAATCGGGAAGCTGCCTAGGTGCTGCAAAGGTTGCGGTGATGGCCGAGCAAGCCAGGGCAAGTGACGAGAAGGAGACCATGGTGAGTGCTAACGACCGTTCAGGACTTTAGGAACAATACTATTCTCCTTCCACGGGGCAGCCTATCCTTTTATCCATCTCCCCCTAGCTCCCTGGAGGCGAAGGAGATAAATTGTAAGAAACTGGCGTTTGATCATTATTCCATTTTTTTCATGGATCGTGAGGTCGATGGAGATTTTGCCAGCAGCAGATATGAATTTTTCAACCTTGGCCTCACTGGAGTTAGTCAAAACGCGGAGGTGATGCCCCACCTTCACAGAATCTGTGGATGCCGAGTGGCGTCTGGTGCAAATTACCAGTACTTCACCCCTCACACGGAACATATGACAATTTCTTGAGTTAAGACCTTATCTTGTGAATTCATACCCCTCCGTCGGAGTTTTAACAAACATGCAGGCTTACAAGAAGCCAATAAGAACATTAAGGGGCGCGGGCGCGTTTCGTTTCTCCGAAATTCGAATTAACCCGAAACAGCTGCCCATCCACTCGGAAGTGGACGACTATGAATCGCTTGGACGTCATATATCTGCGATGTTTCAAACCTGAAATATCGCTTCTTAGTTCTTACAACCGGGCTCATGATAATTTCTCCGAGACCAAGGGAGATGTCACCAACGGTATGTGTTGACGTCATATCTCAGACAGCATGGAAAGCTGTGTGCCGATCTGGAGTTGTTCCCAGGAGCGACAGGATCTTTTTCAATCTGAATCGGGTAAGTAATAAACTAATCAAATTTCAGCCTAGACACTGAGGCCATTAGCGGGCTAGTCGACAAAACCGAGAAGCGAAAAGTGATTTTCTGATTTTTTGATTTTTGCGCCCGCACCCCTCCCCCCTCCCCATACCTTACTAAAAAAAGAAGTACAGTATATACGCCCTTATTCTCGACTACTCCTAGCCCCCCCTTAGCTTGTATGGTCCGTAAGGCAAATCCCATAGATTACGAGGCATATCTTTATCTCCCTTACTCTCTATATCCTCCGTACTGCCTAGATTATTCGAATTATCTATATCTCCTTTATCCCCTTCTCCTCTAGTATTCTTACCCTCCTCTACTATAACCTCCTTCCCTATTATCTTCTAATCTTATATCTGTCTTTATATTCGCTTTCTATATTTTATAGGTAGTTAAGGCTTTAGTATAAAGGGTTTTATAGATATAGAGTAAGGCTTTCCAGACTTAGTAGGATTAGTATTAAGTTAATAGAAAGTATAGATTTTACCATTATTATTATATCTATAATTTATATAAGTACTATCGAATTTGCCTTCTATAACTATATAGTATTTAAAAGGGCTCTTCGGTTTCTTCTTATTACTATAAGTAATATAAACTTAAGAGAATTTGGTTCCGTAAATATATATTAAGCTTGCTTCCAGATTTGCCTTGCCTTTCTCTAATTCCTTTAGCTCCCTACCCTAATATAGCTCTATCTCTTTAACTTTAGTCTTATTATTAATTTACTTTACTACTTTAGTAGTATTATCGGATAGTATAAAGAGATTAAAGTATTATTATAGAAGAGGAAAAAGAGGTTATATATAAGAAGGAAATCGAGGAATAAAGAGGTTTATTAATTAAATATATTAATAGGAGAGAATATTATAGACTAAATCTGGATTATTAAAAAATATATTATAAATATTTTTTTAACTTATTTATAGCTTTATTGCCTTTTCTACTACTTTTGCCTTTACTAGAGCTACTATCTAAAGCTATATTTAATATATTTTTAATAAAAGAGAGCTTTAATAATAGTATTATATATCGGAATTAAAATTATTTTTAGAAAGAGATTAAGATTAAGGTTAAGGCTAAGATTAAAGCTAGTATAGCTATATCTTTATTATTTACTTTTAGAATATAAAAATATATATTTAATATAATTATTTAAACCCGAATAAATTTATAATAAATAATACCTGAAAATGGAAATATTAATATTTAATAGCCCTAGATTAAATATATTTAAATATTAAAAAAATTATAATTTTAGGTATTATAGTTATAAAAATAAAAATAAAAATATTCTTTCTTTTACTAATTTATAAAAGCCAAAATATATTAATAATAATTAAACTATATTCGACTTATATAGTTAGCTAATTTACTTTACTAATTATAAATAATTCGAAGTAATTTAAATCTCCTTAAATTTCTATATATAGCTTATTATATAAATTTCTATATTTCTATATTTAGTAATACTATAATTATAATTTTTAGATAAAAAGAATTCCTTTATTCTAATATATATAATTATATTTATTTCTTATTTTTCGAATATATAGTTATTAAATTAGAGAGATTTAAGAATTTTAAATAATACTTTTTCCTAAAAAGTATATATTTTTAATAAATAGTAAAAATAAAAATAGAATTATATAATAATATAACTATTCTATACTAATAACTTTATTTTCTGTAAAATTATAATTCTATTCTATTTTTATTTTAAAACCTCTATTCTTTTTTTATATTTTTTTGATTTTATTATTAATACTAAAAGCTTTTATTTTCTACTAATATCTTTTCTATTAATACCTCTATTAATATTAAGAACTAGTATCTAATTACCTTATAACCTTTCTTTCCTTCTCTAAATTCCTCTTTTAAATTCTTTTTCTAAATCCTTTCTCTAAATCCTTTTTCTTTTAATACTTCTATTATTAATACTAAGAACTAGTATTTAATTACTTTATAACCTTCCTTTCCTTCTCTAAACCCCTCCTTTAAACCCTTCTTCTAAATCCTTTCTCTAAATCTCTTTTCCGAATCCCTCTTCCTTTAATACTTCTACTAATAATACTAAAGCTAGTACCTAATTACTGCTTCCGAATTACTTTTATCTAGAACTCCTATATTATAAGTCTTTAATCTATTTATTTCTTAGAAAGCTAAATTTTAGATCTCTTCTTTTCTTTTCTAATATCTCCTTTTCTCTTTTTCTAATATCTCTTATATTTTTGGGCCCTTTAGAAATACCCTTTTTCAAACTTCTAAAAAAGAAACTAATTCCTATTTAGCTCTCTTCAAACTTTAATACCTCCTTCTCTTTTCCAATATCTTTTATATTTTCGGGCCTTTTAGGAATATTCTTTCTCGAACTTCTAAAAAGAAACTAACTTTTATTTAGATTTCTCTAAACTTTAATACCTCTTTTCTTTTTTTAATATTTATAAAAGCTTTTAGGCTATTACTAAATACTTCTATTCTTTATCTTAAAATATATACTAATTTATTCTTATAGGAAATAGTTCTTCTTTTTCTAATCTCGATTTCTTTAATATATATTTCTTATTTTTGGATTATTTAAATATCTTTTTATTTACTTTTATAGAATATATACTAACTTATTTTTTTAGTTTCCTTTATCTTATTTTTCTTTTAATATTATTATATATATATCTAGTTAGTACTAATTCTTATAACCTATAATTAGGCTTTTTATTTATTAAATACCCGGGTATTTTATTTTACTTTTACTTTATATATTTTATTTTATATATTTTATTTTTCTTTTATTATAGATTAGGACTTAAATAGTATTTACCTTAAGTATTTATACTTTCGGATATATAAGACTTCTATAGATCTTTCGGGATTATAAACCAGCCTATTTTGGTTTAGGAAAGCTTCCTTAAAAGTATTTCAGGAATTATAATATTTATTATAACTTCTTTTAAAAATTAATATAATATAGGTATTTCTAATCTATTCTTTTTCTATAAAATAAACTACTATTCTAAGTCTATATAAAAATCCCAATTATTTCTTAAATTAAAATATAGATATAAAGAATAATAGGTACTTTTAGGCTAGATTATAGTATTAGTTAAATATTAAAACTTCCTATATCTATTTTATAAACTTATAGTTCGAAATATATTATATTTAATAGGACTTCTATATCTAATTACTTTATATTATAGTAAAACGTTTTAGTATTATAATTAGGAGAGTTCTATTTTATAATCTTATTTACTATTTATAGATTTTCTAGCTAATAAGTCTTAGCTAATAGCTAAGAAATTTATTAGCTATTTTATCTAAAGCCTCTGGGAATAGGAAGTTACTTTAATAAAGACTTAATATTAAAAATAAATTTAATTAATTAATCCAAATAAGAAGTTTATAATAGAAATCTTTATATCTAGGTAATTCTATATAATAAACTCAAGTTTCTATTTCTGGTTATATAAATAAGCTATATAAGAAACTTCTATTAGAATAGTCTCTATTTCTAATTATATAAGTTATAATCTATAATAAACTCAAAATTTTCTGGTTTATTAGAGCTTGGGTTATTTTTAGAAAAATTAGTAAGCTTTTCTAAATAGACTTATTAAGGCCTTAGTTTTTAAAAATATTAGTCTAGTTTTCTTATTTCCTTTTTAGGTAATAGTTCGGCTTTTAGGAATTATATATAAATATTAATAAAACAAATATAAAAACATATTATATATACTTTCTAGATAGATTAGAATAGAACTTATAGGATTCCTATAATATTTATATTAAATCTATAATACTAGCTAGTAAAAACTTTAATAACTTTAATTAGACTTAAATTATAAGTCTAGTTTTTAGATTTCCTATTTAATTTAAAAGTTAAATAGTTTATAATAGGTTACTTATTATAGAATATATTATACTCTTTTCCCAAAAAGTATTAAATACTAGTAATAATTCGGAAGCCCTAAAGCTCTTAAAACTCTTTATAAGTTTCGGGCTTTAGGGCTTTTCTATAGCTAGCTAATTATATAGAATTATATAATTATATAGGTCCAGTATTAATATAAAGTAATTAGTAACTTTATATATAGATATAGTATAGTTTTTAGTATAGCTAGTCTAATATATTATATATCTATATATAAATATCTATAATTTTATTATTATAATATAATATATTCTTAATATATCCTTAATATAAAAATCCCTTTATAACCCTAGACTTTTAGGAGTTTCTTCTATATTAAAAGTAAAGTATATAATACGGTTTAAGTATTAAACTCAAAAGATAAAGAATTATAAAGGCCCTAATAATTATAAGACTTTATAAATTTAGATGAATTTAAATATTATAAAAGTATTAAATTTAATA